TTTTTTTTGACCGGAAGAGGGATAACAGTCCTTGATCATCCTCCGTATTCGCCAGATTTGGCTCCAGCAGATTTCTGATTGTTCCCAAAAGTTAAGTTGGCGATGAAAGGAGACCGTCACGACACCATCCAGGACATCCAAAGGGAATCTACCGCAGTTTTAAATGCGATTCCACAAAAGGAGTACAGTGACTGTTTTCGAAAACTTTTCAATCGATTCTAGCTATGTATTGATTCAGAAGGAGACTATTTTGAATAAAATGAGTGACATTTTGAAAATAATTCCCGTCTTGTATTTTTAATGAACACAGTCATAACAGAACCTGGACACACTGTGTAAACTGTGTCCTGTTTAGTTTACTCGCAACAAGTTTTCGAAAGTTTTCAGTTTTTCTGCAATATCCCCGTGGCTCCTTTAATAGTAACGCTGCATTACACTACCAGGTTTGGCTCTTTGAGGAGATTCAATATTCCGTCCTGTTCAATATACTGATGTAGGAAATGAAGAGATTTATATATTATAACATGTGCTACTGCACATGACTGACCCATTTCATTTAACTGTAACTGACATAGAAACTCGGTCACCTCTCTTCTTTTCCTTATGTCAGAGTTAGAGAGTGCCTCGGTCCAATCATCGATAACTAGTCACAAATTTTCTCCTAATTTGGTTCTAATAACAAGCGCGATAGATTACGTTTGGCTTAAAAGCAGTATTCAGTTTATTCCTAAAATACAAATAACCAAGTATCGAAGTTCATGTACTCGTGCAGTTCGTGAACCCTTAATTTTAAAATACACAAGATTGTTATTGATTTTATGGATTACTGATCATTGAATTTAATTACATTTTAACAATTTAAAGAGTAAGATTCATATGCATAAAATAAAAGAATTTAGTTCATACCTCAAAGGAAACATTACCGTCTCCGCTACAAAGACCAGCCGGTTAATGCTGTTTAGGGAAACAATCATCATGTACTGTGAGCATCATATGAAATAGCTAAATTCACTTTGTGGGCAGAATGAAAATTTTTTGCATGCTTAAAACGGTTAAATTTATGGGCAGTTTTATTTAGATAGGTATACTTAGATTCTGCAGGTTCTAGGCATCCTGGTGTTTAGTCGGATTTACTTGTATATACAAATCGAAGGAATTTAACCTTGCACGACAAACGTGTCGGTACTCGGTCCACATGTTTTATGTTGCATCGAGTTTAATTCACGTTATACTGGGAAATCTTGCAGATTCACTGATTATAACACACAGTATGAAAACTGATTTCACAATCTTGCAGTGTATACCATTTTAACAAATGAAATTAAAAGAAATGCAAGTCCAAGCAACCAATAACCAATTTAACTTAATATAACTCTTCATGCGTATACACTAGGCCGGCCACATGAAACTCCCATGTTATTGGTGGGTACATGACCGCTATGACACCACGGTGAAATGCTGCTGCCATCTCTACGCATCCTATATTAACTAAATTTAAAATGGACGACAGGGCCGAGAGCGCAATCGGTGAGAAGGTATGCTAACATAGCAACTATTTTGAGTGCCCCCCCCCCGCCCAATGCTTTGTTCGCTAGAATAGCAATAAATACTTTTACAACTAGATCTTTGTGCTGCAGAGGTTCCCCCCCTCAACCTATTTATATTTTTTAACTGTGTTCAATATCACTAGTCAAGGAGGATGAGGTTGGCAGGGCATGAAGCACGAATGGGGGAGGCGAGGAATGCATATAGGATATTGGTAGGAAAGCCAGAAGGAAAGAGACTAGTAGGAAGACCATGGTGTAGGTGGGTGGACAATATTAAAATGTATCCTAGAGATATAGGATGGTATGGCATGGATTGGATTGATCTGGCTCAGGATAGGGACCAATGGAGGGCTCTTGTGAACACAGTAATGAACCTTTGGGTTCAACAAAAGGCTGGAAAATTCTTGAGTGGCTGCACAATTGGTGGGTTCTCAAGAAGGGCTCAGCTCCATAAGTTCAATTTCACTTCACCCATATCCTTTGGGTTGGATTTGAGTGAAGTGCTATTAAACTTGGTCCCCCACCCTTTCAAAAGAAAAAATAACGGAATAAGAGCCTCTGGAGTACAAGAGATTAGGTTGCAAATTATTTTTCTGGAGATAGTTTCTCACCAGTGCCTGGAAAGTCCTAACCTTTCTTTCACATGAAACACCTCTTTAACCATCAAGATTACATATAATGAATGGGCCCTCATCCTAACCACTAACTGAACAATCTCTATGGGTAACTGGGGCGTACATTAGTGTGGTCATAACTAGTTATTGTAACATGGTGACATAATTTGTAAACCCGTCATGCAGGTTAAACATTCCTGTCTTAGGTGTATCATTAAAATAAAAGTGTTTAAAATACTCAACAAAAGTTAAAATAGAGGCACAGAGCATAAATAAACTGTGCAATAAATTATGCAGTAAAACTTAAGAGTCCGCGACAAAAACCTTTATAAAGCATAGAAAATGAAGAATGTATCTTATCAATCGTCACGACTTCTTCTTAATCCTTCACACACCATATTCCATCTAAAGGACCTGACAGAAAAAGATGTGGGGGGGGGATGTTTATTTGGTAAGAACATGTCAGAATACTTAGGCGGGGGCCACTGAGGCCAAATTTGGAAGAGAATATGGCATTTACTGATCGGCAAACAGAAGGGAAGCTTGTAATGATAGATAAATGCGCGTTAAGTTGAGAAAGAGTAAAAAATGCTAAAGCTATCCCCGCAACAAGCCATGGAGGCCCATAAGGTTGTTAGACAATGAGGCTCACATTTTCTAGACAGTCGGCTCACAGATGGCAGTCAGGTTGTCAGCCTTATGCGTCGGCCGCCCTTTACCCCCAGGAAGATTCCTGGTAGTCTTTTCTGTTAGAGGCTGACTCGACCCTGGGGCCATAGTGCGGCTGGAAGGATTAGGTCAATTGAAAAATCTGGAATCGAGCCCGCGACCTTCCGGCATGTAGCATAGTGCATCAACCAGCTAAGCTACCGCGAGCCCCCTGAGAAAGAATCCAAGATCACTAAAAAGAGAAGGCACTTCTGCATTTATATGAGAGGTCGTGTAGGCAGACAAGATGGAATTGGAAAGCATGACAACTTGTAAGCAAGTAGACCATGAGATGTGATGGGTATGCGTCATGTACGATCAAAATAAACCTAACATTTTGGTTTGAAAACCTTTGTAAATGAAGCTACTAAGAAGTAGAAGTGTGAAGAAATTAGATGTTAGAATATCAACTGTATAGACCAGTTCGAGATAAGGTCCATTGATAGGCTACTGTAATTATGCATACATAATAATGTATATTTGGATTCTACGTTGCCTTCCAGGCCTGCCTATGGAGGTGAGGACTGCCTTGGGAAGAGTGAGGAGTTCCGCATCTGTGGACAGGTGCCCTGCCCTGAGCCCATGAGGGATTTCAGAGCGCAACAATGTGCCCGGCTCCCCTATATTGTCCCCATTGGGGGACTGGGACACAGAATTAACAATACGTGGCTCGCACACGAGGCAGACCCCAGTATGTACAGAGCTTCGTTCAGTCCTATAGTATTCACATACGTGCTAATGAACCGTATAGATATGTGACATTTATCTTAATAATTATGCTGATATTTGTGAAGATACTTTCTTTGGCATATCTGACACATAAATTTATGATGGTATTAAATATTTCTGTATTGCAAATGTTGGAGAAATTGATCTTTTAGAAGAAAAACTATAGAGTCTCTTTACAAGTATATTACTCTGTAAAATTTCAATAGATTCAGAAATCCCATAAATACCTTTGTACTGAATTTCAGGAATGTAGAGTCTGTAGTTGTTTGGAAAAATGTCCTTTAACATGACAATGTAGCACTGCGGTGATAGCGCTAACCATCTCCCCTCTAAAGCTCATGCTGTAACAGCAGCGAGCTCTAGTGGCAAAATTGTACCAGATTTCTTCGTAATACAAATGAGCTGCGTTATCGCTTAGCTGAACGTACGAGTATCTGTGGTTACTGGAGTAGCTCATTCGTGATGTGATGGGCTGCAGACCGCAGGATGGCAGTCTACACCTGTAAAGCCCGCCGAAAAATTTCCTGCCACACAACTGTGCCCGGAATGGCATTAGGTGCCATCCATACTTTTTCCCCGGAGATGAAAGCGGCTGGAGCATGAAATTCATTACAATACCTCCAACCAGCGCCGAAATTTAAGAAAGGGGTAGATTTATTTCCAATTGGTCAATCGGCGTAATATTACGTGATATAAATAAGAGCCTGGATTACACCACACAATAAAATAATCCCTTATATGCAGGCTGAGAAATAGTTAAGTGGGGTATCTCTAATTCTCAGTATGTTACAGTAATTAGGCTGTTAACAAAAAATAAAACACCTCATATTTAACAGTATAACGCCGATTATCCAAATTAGTTACTGACAAAGGTGATTCAGATAAACGAAAATTTGGATAATTGGATTAAATTCTTATCCATGGAAAAGACTATTATAACATTGCCAAAATGTACTGCACTATTATAATAACAAGAACCAAACAGTTCTTAGTACAAGTGAAACATGAAATATTAATAAATGTACATTATAAGTTAACATTTTCAAACAATTTATTTGAACAAGTCCAACAATGACATTGGTTTAGCATACACATTCCATGCTTGTGGTGATTGACAATTCGGATAATCAGCGTTCTTCTGTACAAATATTTGTTACTGTATTACAGAGTCTCGCCATTGTTACCTATCACCAGCTCAGTTAGATCCAGGTAGTATAGTCACAGGCCATTCTGTAAGACCATCTTAATATGAGTATATACTCCTGTGTCTTGGTTCCTCAAGAGATTCTGCAACCAAACTGTACATGATTTTCCATACATGCTACATGCCCAGTCAGTCTCATACTTCTTCACTTTCTTTTCCTAACAATACTAGATAGAATGTAAAATTATGAAGATCTCTGTTAAGCCATTTTATTCATTCTCCTGGTAATTATCCTTCCTGACATCCAAATATTCTAGAAGCTCACTCTACATCTTCAGTCTTTAAAGTGGAATTACTATTGTGTTCCTGTGACAGGTTCCATGAAATGCCAACTTACATGTGTCAGCCAGGAGACAGGTGAAGTGTTCATGTCAGGAGAGAACCTGCTGGATGGTACACCCTGCTCCTATGACAACTATGACAAGAGTATCTGTATCCAGGCATGTCATCACAATATTTATACCATGTCAGCATTAGCTTCTGAACAACTGCCCATGGAAATATTATGTACATGTTGATAAAAAGGGAAGTATCAGAAATATAGCACAAATAGAGGTGACATGAAATAACGGAACAATTTAGATCAGAAAATAGTAACTTGCAAAATCAGAAAATATGTGGGATAAAATGTAATCATGGGAAAACATGAAACAAAATTGTGAACTGGACTTGTAGTTAGTCAGTTAGTGAGTGATATATTCACTTATCCATATCAATCAATCAGTCAGTCAGTTATTCCTGTCCCCAGGGTCACTGCCACGTACTGGGATGTGACGGAGTGCTAGATTCAACGGTGCAGGAGGATTCCTGCGGTGTGTGTGGGGGTGACAACTCTAAGTGTCATAACATCACCCACACTTTTCACCGGAAACTGCGTAGATGTGAGTTCTTCAAAAGGCTTCTCATTAAAATGTTAATTTAGGTTAAAACAGTTTACACAAGACCCATTCTGATCTTAAATCTTATGCTGATCCAAAAGTTTGAATCTTAAAAAGAATGTGTAGCAAGGAATGGGATTTTTCTGCTTGCAGATTGAAATCTTCACCTCTACCAAAAATGAAATTTGGAAATGACAAGAACACCCTCCTACCATCATTTGAACCCCATGTTAAGCTGTAGACCTCCTCTGTTAACCCGTATTCCCATGAACATGAGGACAACTTTATGGAGACCAAAAGTAATGATCATCTGATGTCTACAAATATTTCCATTCTTCAGATGGAATCACAGATGTCTGAGACATTCTGTTGTCCCGGGTGTGTCCCAATCTCAGAAATGGATTCCAAGCAAATTTTCTCTGTGGGTGGGACAGAAATATCATCACATAACTGGAGGCACTAGACAAATCACAAAAGAAACATAAAAAAATGGATACTAGGAACTAAGTGTACAAATGTGAATCAACTCAGGTTAGGTTCTAATAGAGGATGTTTGTGCTGATGGTATTCAACCTTGAAGACACACAATATTACACCACAATTATGTTGTACATTGTCCATTGTTTGCGGTATATCAGACATGGACAGATAAAGCTTCAGAATAACGGCCTAGTGTGATTTTTTCAAAATTGTTAGTCATGCAACACTACACTCTGCGAACATGCAAGCAGCTGAAGCATGTTAACAGTCTTCATTTGGCTAACATGATAACCTGAAATGTAATGCACTCCATCTTCCCAACTCAAGGCTACAATATATGCATCTCTTCTAGTTGTGTCATCACTAGTGTATGCCTGGAGGAAGTGGCTGACAATGCCTGTGATGGACTGGCTGGAGATGGCAGAAGATACATTATCTGATTACCACTGAATCACAAAATAACACTCTGTATTTCATTAGGTGGGCTAAAACGGTTAACATGAACACTCTGACAGTGCTTCAGATGATTAATCATAAGTAAATAAATTGATTTTATTACTGAATTCACTTCTGAGATCAGTGGCAATGATCAGCATCAAGTCTGAAACAATTTCCCTAACATTGAAGGAGACCATAATTCCTCTGTTTGTGCTTTCCAATACATCATATAAAGATTTTATACAAAACTTTGTATGTATTTCTGTCACTTCTTGCTGTTTCATTCTCACAATAGTATAAGAGACAGGAATCTAAACTTGGCACAAATTACATCCTCCTACATGTGCCAGAAGTTATTAAAAATATTGTAGATCAGAAACTGCTGTGTACAGAATGTTTAATTCTACTGTCACATGAAAGCTCTTGAAATGGCCTTTCACACTGTACACAAGTAAGTGCAGAAAGTTGTAGATCACAATAGTGAAATTCTTGATGTCCGCAGCAATGACGCGGGTTGCGGTTTTCCCTCGCCTGGCTCGTAATGTGTGGATAGACGTGAATACAGATCCTCAGGGGGATACAAAACTGGTAATCCGAGACAGACGCAGCCGACAATATAGCCTGGCTTCACCCAATGACTTGAGGTTGAAAACAGCAGGTCCAGTACCCATATATGGTACAGTCACTGTGTGGACAGTCCCCTCCATAAAAGAGCAAGACACCATTGCTTCTGTGGTTGTTGAGGGGGCAAGGTTCCATTATGAGAGGAGGGGGAACCGTGAGAAGCTGTCAGCTAGGGGCCCCCTGCTAGCAGAACTTGTTGTGTCTGTGAGTATTATGAATCAAAATATAAGGAGCAGCATACTCATATTGTTGTCATCTGGATTTTGACATCATGTAGTTTGGCAGATGGGAACCAAAGTTTCAAAGAAACACACTGCCTCCATCTTCAGGGTGGAAAATGAAGGCAATATGTTCTCCAAAACGTTAGTGTCCACATGCCAGACTATATAGTGTTAAAATTAAGAGGACCACAATATGAATCTTCACTGCCATGGAAACCTCAAATCTTCATACTTAGAATTTACACTCTTCACCATTCATTAGATGGTTAAATTTAGAACGCTGAGCACAAATGGAGAAAATTATATGATTAGCATTGACCTAAATACACCAAGGGAAAGCTACTTGTAGACCTAAGCATAGATGGGAAAACAACAATGAAACAGGTCTTAAAGAAGTAACTGTGAAAATGTGACTTCAATGGAGCTGGCTCAGGATATGGCCCAGTAATTGGATTGCCTGATGACCATGATGAATCTTCAGGTTCAGAAACATAGCTGTTGAAGGTAGATTCAGTACTGTGGAGTCAATCAGCCAGTCAATTAACCACTTTGTCAGCTGTAGGGATACCGGAGACATAAATAAATTTGTAATTATTGGGTCAGTCATTCAATTATTATTCATTCAGTGACTCAGCCTGCGAGTCAGTATGTGAGTGAGTGAGTGAGTGAGTTTGTCAATAAGTCAGTTGAAGTATACACCATGAACTCTGATTACTGCACTGAAGGTGTCTGCAGAGCCTGCTGCCCTGGAGGCAGGTGTGACAGTAGCAGCCCAAAGCATCTACACACTGCACCAGGCTCTGTTCGGGGTGGGCTCACGCTATGCTTGGCAGGTGGGCGGCTGGGGTCCATGTTCCAAGAGTTGTGGGGGAGGCCGACGCTTCAAGACTGTGGCCTGTAGGGATACTGATACGGGGCGTCTTGTGCCCCGGAGACACTGCTCTCTAGTGGCTAAGCCCCCTGCAAGGATGGAGCGCTGCAACCTCATCAGGTGTGAAATTTTCCTCTGCATAGATGCTAGACACTCTCTGAAAGTAAAAAGTACATTAATTATTTTTGCATTCATAGTGATAACAAGTGACAGTCAATCCAAAGACCATAACAGCTTGGAATCAGATGCCCTTATTAAATCATAACAGTAAAAAGCTCTGCTTATCTCAGAAGGATAACCCACAGATCACCAATAATTTTTTAATTCACTTAGTGGAGGGTGGAGTCCAACTGGGTCCACTCGGCACAGCGCCCACTGATTGGCCTCACAGATCACTGTAGTGATACATGTCTGTTTCGTGTTTGGGAGGTACTGGGTTTGATCTCAATCAGTACTAACTACTTATCCTAACTGAGGTATTAGTACTTCAATGAAAATGTGAGGTAATACATTTGTAGTAGGCAGAGCAGTGCACACTTCACAATCCATAATAACTCCCTATCTCTTCCTTCACAAATTAATCTCTGCAGTGACATAACAACTGAGAGGCTTAGGAAGTTACACAACTTTGTTTTAATCCCATTTAAAAGCAACTGTAAGATTTGCATGTAGCACATGAAATGAAGTTAAAGTAAATCTTCAAAATTATTTCTCTAGCTCCGGAACTGACAATCTTGTGCCACTATATCCATACGAGTAAATGAAATAGTCATATTCTCACTAAGAGTTATGTGTGTTTCATTCTAAAGCTGTGACTTCATGTGGGTGTCTGCAGACTGGGAACAGTGCACCTCCACCTGTGGCTCTCGTGGCATGCAGGAGCGTGAAGTGTTTTGTGTCCACAATCACACTGACAATAATGAGCCACCATGGAAACACATGGTGGACCCAAAGCGATGCCGGGTGGGAGTCAAACCAGAAACCACAAGACCTTGCAATCGAGTGCCATGCCCTGCACACTGGATTAGTGGCAACTGGTCACAGGTATGAGATGAGCAAGCCTTAAATTTATATTCATTCTGTGAAAGGCACGTAGGCTTCCGGTAGAACATATGATTCACTCCATAGAGCAACATTCTTTCTGAGAAGCTAACATCACAGCCAGTCAAGAAATTTCCCACATTTTACAGAAGCTGAAGGTTCATTATTATGTTAACTGGACCATAACTGGAGCCATGTTTCTTTAAACCCTATTTTATATTATCCTCTCATCTATGCCCAAGTATCCCAAATTGTCTCCTTTTATGTAGTTAAACTAAAATTTTACATGCATTTCTTGATTCTTCCATAGCTGCCCCATGCCTCAATCATCTCGTCTTCCCTAATCTGAGCTCCCTGACAGTGTTAGATTAAGTGTACATGATATGAAAATCCTCAGTATGCAGTTTTCTCCAGCCTCCTCCAAATTCCTGTCTTCTAAGTCCAAATAATCTTAGCACACAAATAATCTCTTAATGTTTTATAATGATAAAATAATCATCTTAATGTATATGATAATGGGACTCTATAGAAAAAGATCTGCTAGGATCCTGAAGAACTTTAAATTACCAATCAGAGGAAGATGCTCAGGGATAACACTCACGGGGTGTAGACATTCTGTTTTGTAATACTCATGACAAGTTCACCAGGATGGGGCTGATGAAGATGAAAGAGCATGCAATAATAAACATTATTGTCTCAATTATGTTACCTTTTTTTAAGAAAAAATATAATAATCATAAATATGATTGGGACCAAAACTGTATGTTACATAAGGCCTACTACTGCAGAAGTTCACTTGGAAAAAAAAAATCTCTGGTCATGGGCCCCAAGGGGCCTGAAGCTAAGACGAACTGAGTGGTGGTAAACCGCCAGTCGTAAAGTAACTCTAACTCTGATAGCAGTTATACCCATGTGGAGGAAGGGTCAAATACCTTCACCGTGACCCTGCGAGTCATGGGAGGCGACAAAAAAGAAATCTCAAATCTGAGGCAGTAAAATATGGTCGCAAGTCCCAAGAGACTCGGACCCAAGAGAGACTGTGCTGGCAAGGACTAGCAGCATATACAAAAGACAGGCCCATCCTCTCGTCAAAGAGGGTGCCTCCCAAAAACAAGACCATAACTGTCGAACAGTAATAAATATTTGGTAATGACTGACTGTCAGTTGCAATGTGACTTACATGGCAGTTAGTAGAGTAGGAGATTGGTGTGAGATGCTCACCAGTCTGCAGGGACGTGAGCTGGAGAGCAGGGGAACATCCACCGATGAAGACCCTGCTGACTGAGAAGACTTAGTACATGCAGTAGCGAACTGCAGTGTGTGTGTGAATTCGCAATAGTGCTATAGTTACTTGTAGTTACGATTTTAAGTCTTCAATAAATCCAAGTGCACTCCAAACCCTATCTATAGTCACTCATACATGTGACAATATAGCACATGTTTATGTTTCATAGTGCTCTGCTAGCTGTGGCCATGGATTAGAGACACGAGAATTCCGATGTCCTGCTCCTCGTGGGGAACCATTCTTTGAGTGTGGTCCATCACCTCCTGATGAACAACGTCCTTGTGTTGGGATATTCAGCAAACATGACCCTCTGTGCTACAAATCAAAGCCATGTCGCCGTGATGCATCTCCTTACTGTAGTCTGACGAACCTCCTGGGACACTACTGTGTTATCCCAGAATTCAGAAAACTGTGCTGCAAATCTTGTAGTCTAACTATGAATATGCTGCCTGAATGATTTCATACAAATCTGTAGCTCCAAACTGTAAGATGACAACACACATTTCAGTCATGCATAGCAATTCCTTGCCCACTGTAGTTCTGTCAATTTTAGATTTCAGGTATCTGCAATTTTCCATTTGTAGTCAGTTTTGTAAACCATGGAATTTGGTTTTACATATGTAGTATCAACAGCTTTTATTTGTGATGATGGATGAGGATGAACTATTTTTTAGAAGTATTTTAGTTAGTGAGAGCAAACCATACTGCAGAAGTGGAAATGATTTACAGGTGGAGGAGGAAGAAAAGTAGAAGAATAAGAAGAGATCATGGTGGTGGTGACAGTAGCAGCAGCAGCAGTGGTAGAAGCAAGATTAGTAGTAGTAGTAGTGGTAGTAGTAGTAGCAGTAGTAGTAGTAGTAGTAGTAGTAGTAGTAGTAGTAGTAGTAGGAGGAGGAGGAGGAGGAGGAGGAGCAGCGGTAGACTAGTGATTTTAATAGTAAAGTGGTTTATCTTTAACCAAATGCAAAATGATCTATCATATTTTCTGAAATTCATGCAACAACAAAAATTAACAGCACACACCACTGAAAATAAATATAACTAATAGTGTATTTCAGCTTCCTGTTGCCTTGATGCATCATTTTACATACTCACTTCCGTCTTCAATGCGACTACGTTTACAATTACTCCATACTTTAAAATAATATTAAAATTAAAATCAACATTGAACTGCTACATGTTTTGGCCATATTTGGTCATCCTCAGGCAACTGTTCGCTTGTTGAAATTGCTACACTGAATTAGTTCTTAAGTTAAAATATTCCAGTGTTATTCCATCTTTGTCATTCACTCATTAAAAATACATTTGCTTCAAAACATCACTCTTCATCTTTTCATGGACTACTTTCATGTGTCAATCAATGTTTTTTGTGTTGCTTTGTTTAGCCACATGAATATTGTGTGGTTGTATTATCACTGCTGTTTTATCCCATTAGTATGTATGTTCTCATGAACAGAACAGAACCGATGCATTGTTTGATGCATCAGCACTAACAGTAATAAGAGTAGCTTCTGACAAGTCCTTAGAAAATTCTTCACTGGCTGGTGGCCCCAGTACATCTGTTGCAACAGCTTTACTTATTCTTCATGCACACTGTAGCATGTACAGCTGTTACTATGTGACTACCATGAGATAGGTGAATATGCAGCAGCTCAGTAAACCCGTTTCTGCAGCAACGAATCGATCCACAATAGAGGTACTGTTGGAAACAGGGTTCTTCTATGTGGCCCATGCCAAGTAGTTACTTTGAAGACAATTGGGGTTACCAAGTCAGTTCTGCATGGGAAGCCATGAAGAGAGGACTTGAGCACATGAAACTGAAGAATCTCCACTGTGAGAAGCCATTGCCAGAGAATGTCTGGTGAAGACACAGCAGGCTGGAAAAAGACTTAGTGGGTGCTGTGGTGATTTGTGAATTGTGGAGATTAGCGGTGGCATTGTAATTACATATACTTACAAGTTTTGTGTATAAGTGGCCAAAAGATCCATTCACCAATTCAAACCCTACAAATAGTCATGCATATTATGTGGCAATATACATGATTTGATCAAATATATTCAATATTAGTTTCACTGAGCAGGCATTAGAAAGGGAGGGCAGGCTATGAACGTTCCATCTGTTGCCACCATGTAAGTTCATTTTCACAAATGGAAATCTGGAAAATAAAGTGATTTCATAATTCAAAATGCTGCTTGAATAACAGCTTTGTGTTTCTTTGCCTTAAGATAGTTACTGATATTTCTGTAATCTCCAGAAGTGATAAATGTTGAATATTATACACACAAGTAATGAAGTGGAAATTCTTTCACTAAAACACATTTGTTTTGACACTTTAACCACCACTCTTCTTTTTCAGCAAACACTTCACAAAACAACACACTTGCACTGAAAATCTAGACCAAATTTACCCCAGCTGGGATCACATGGCACAGTACTCCTCTGCCAGAATTAAGTAGTACCAGTAATGACTTTTGGCCCACATGTTTCATTTGTTTCTGTTCTCACTGAAAGCAACATACAATGAAATTCTGAGTAGATAACAGGCTGTTTCAGAACACATGTCTCCCTCATGGAAAGTTTTCTTACATGTATAAAGTATGACTGAAAGTTGAAACCTGGGACATTCCTTCAATTCATAATCAACCAGCTGGGAACCCTGGACAAGATACTAAAACCTGGACATATGGTCACCCTTCAGGACAGGGACAATTTTACTCAATGAGGCACATTCCCTGAAGAGCAAATAGTTGCCCAAATAGTCAAGATACCAAACTTTTATGATCTGTGAAGGTTAATTACAAGAGCCCTTAGACCATACCTTGACAAACACTGACTGAAGTTTTTATGTATTTGTCACCTCCCCTATGCATGCTACATGCTGCATGTCAGACACATTTATCTTCCTTCATTTTACCTAAATATTAACTGAATGGTACAAACTGTGACAGTTCTCATTATGTAGTTTTCTCCTCCCTCTCCTATATCCAAGCATTCTCTCCAATACCTTGTTCTCAAATTTCCTCAATCTATGATCCTCCTTTACAGTGACAGACTAACTTTCACACCAAAATCAGACAAAACTGCAGTTCTCTTTATTATAATCTGTACATTTTTAGATAGGAGACAGGGAGACTGATGAGTCTGAACTGCATCACAGGAAGCATTCCCCAGATTTAATCTGCTCTGAATTTACTTTCAATCTGTATTACTTACAGATTTCCTATATTTTCAAGGAATTTATTAGCTATCTTCACACTATGGTTTCATCCTGCATTATAATGAGCATACAGTTCATTTTGTTTTACTTCAACATCAGCTCTTAATTTGCATTTTTAGATTTTTTGTGTTTGGTATTTATGTCTTCACACAGTTAAGGTAAGATCATAAGAGAATACCAGAAGCTGATGTGTCCCATTCAGTTACAGTTGTTCTAGATTTTACATTCAAAATGGTGTATTCTATGGAAAAACTGAAGAACAGTGGTGATAAATAAGCTGTTGCAGACAGTTTCTGAAAAGGAAATGTTTATCTATCTGGACTTCATAACCTATAAGATCTGCTTAAATGCATTTTCATTAAGCTAGAATCATGGATGTGTAAAATTCAGGTAAAAGGTAAAGCTGTCCGTGTGCTTAATTAAGAAATAAGCCATGAAAACATATGGGGAGTGGATATATAAATCCATGTATTCTTGACCTCGGCACTAGTTTAATGTGAGTGGTCAGCTTCATGCCTTGACTGCTTTACCCCTGGGGAGAGAGCCCCTGGTACCCACTGGATAGTAGGCTGGATGGGCCCGAGGACTGGGCTTGATGATGTGGAGAGGAGAGGAGAAAAATCTTCCCACTACTTAGATTCAAACTCCGAGCCCTTTGCCATCCAGCCTGTAGCCAGTAGCTATAATGACTGTGCTATGCCTGCTCATGTGTGTCAAATTCAGTAATAATATTATAGAACATTTCTCTTCATACAGAGCTATACAATTTTATAATGTCTGTAAATAGCAGATGCTTTGTCTTATTGTACTCCTATTCTTTTCCAGTATCTGACAGATACAAAATCTCTGATCAGTAGTAGTTTTGTTATGCCACACCCACAATGATGATCAACAATAACTTCGTTTATGTGTGGGATTAACCTTGAGATGAAATGGGGATACAATTTTTTATAAAGTTGTAACAGTGACAGTCTTTATTTCATCTTTCCGTGATTATTTCCATTCTTTCAGTGTGCACTATATGAGCCACAGAAATGTTGCAACGCAACATCTATATCCATGTTCATGTTCATATGTTCCAGAACATACAAATATGGCATCTGACTGAACAATTGCTGTGAGCACACTGTTTTGTCAGTGTGCAATGACAATGGACAGCCTGAATATGGACCATCTTAGATTAACATTCTGGTTTTTTAAATCGCATAAATCAATAAAATGTTCCAGTGGAGCTAAGAGGTTATTCTCAAAATGCAGATCTAAGCATTTCAAAAGTCTTCATGGTTGTCCTTCCATGTTAGATAGTAGTTTGTGCATATGTTGATAAAATTTTAAAATGCAGTGACAGCTATAAACAGAAGTAGTTGTAAGTGATACAAAGCAGTGGCTTCCCTTAAGCTTGGGGTACAGTCAGAAACTGTTCACAACATAGGTGACTTATTATTCCTATGGATGCTACCTTTCAAGTTTCTAGGCATGCTGTGGATGTACCAGCACTTCCTCCAGTACCAACATATAACTACAGTGAAAGCCCCACTTAATATTTCTTTGTGGAATAGTGGATCAAAACAATAAACTGAGGAAATTCTAAAATTAGGTGATTCATCACTGGAATTAGTGATTTGGGACCACTGAAATTTAACATTATATGAGGGATAATTTTTAACTGAGGAATATTAGGTGGGAGTTCCACTCTATTTCATGACGTAACCACATGATTCTCTCATTCACTTCATAAAAAGGACTGGATCGTCAATTGGAATGGTTATTGAAAACACTTTAATAATCATTGAAAGAATGAGCTCTGATAGGATCCCCCAAAGATTACCAAATATCTACCTAATGGACAATGCTTAGAAAAATCTAAAGGAAGGTGTAAGATTTTGTTCTTTAACACTCATATGTGGCCAATGAGGCATAATACTACGAAGGATGATGATGCTGAAAAGACAGTGTATATGGAGACTTGTTTATGCTGTAAGCTGAGTGATGTGGACTAGCTGACCTTTATTCAGTGTGAAGAAAATACAGTTCTGACAAATTAACATATATGGCTGCAAACAAGAGAAATTGATAACAAGGAAAATAATTAAGCAAAAATTGTGTTATTTCATTTTATTCTAATGCAGAATTCAGTACTGGTGTTTGAGTTTTCACATGTGTAGGCTGTGCTTCTAGAAAATTATTGTATCATTATCGCTAGAAAACATATATATTATCTATGAATTAAGTTTTGATTGTTCTAACCAATCAAAAATACACCCGTTATTCTTTCCATTGCAAGATTGGTGTCAACTAAGGAAGCATTTGCAGTTTCTTTTGTAAAGTAACATTACATGGGGTAATTATTTGTCATAACAACTTCTATTTGTCTAGGTCACCATTATAAAAGGCACTGCTATGAAATTGAGTCTTTTTAGTCAGTAATCATCCTTTCTATCTATCAGGATACATTGAAACATCCATGGAACTGGAAGTAAAAGAGATTTCTGCATTTACAGTGGGTCTGTAGTTTGTCAATCTATTATGAATATGGGGAGAGCTCAAGTAGTCTGTTATTTTTATATATGTTATGTATTTATGTATATTTTTTCTGTAGAAATTATGGAGTAATCAGTTTTGTAACAAGTGTTTGTAACTTTCATGGGGGGGGGGGAGGATATGAGTTTTAACACATTCACTGCCGTTTATCTAAACACCAGCTTAAACCTGCAGGCTACACAAACTAACATGACATTCTAATAGAACAACAAAGTCATCTTATAGAATATACATCAAAAATATATATTTAATCCTCGCAGCTTGCATACAGCTACTGGTGTCTTTGTTGCAATTACATGATTCCCATGAGAGAAAACACTAAATATTTTGACAATTAGCCAAGTGATGCAAGTTGCCATTGTTACTGAGACAGATACTCACTCGATCATCAACTGTTGTAATTGGCAATGAATGTGTTAACACTGCATGCATGTAAGCACATAATTCTGGTACTGAAAACCCCCCAATGACAGATTTCCAAATACAAGACAAAAAAATATGAAGTTCCTCCACTGCAACTCCGTGAAAACTTTGGCTACTGACTAGATGATTTAACATATAAATTCATGTAATTAAGCAGTAAACATGCAGTATACTCCATTAATTTATAATAAAAAATTGTACAGTTATGTACACCTAACTATTATCACTACACATCTTTGTTTTTATAAAAATACTGTCAAGACTTGGGGATGGTTTTGGTCAGTAACTGCTGATTAGGAGGGTGATAGACTGATATCACAACAATGGGGAAATTTATAGAACTGTGACACAAAAAGCCACATTTCCTGTAGTCTTGACTGTATCTATCTGCATTTGCAGTAATTCTATAATTATAAGGAAACAAACTGTTCCAGACACATAATATTTTAAGATAATGAACAAGGCTGTGGTTTACATAGTATACAAGATTGAAGTTTTTGTACAATAGACATATGTAGGAATTAGGCAGGGCAGGTAACAAATGTTTCATACAGTTAAACATTTGCATTTAACTGAAAACATAAAAGGGATATTTTCCAATTCATTAGGCTTGAACCCTTTCCACTCAACTGCTGAGAGTACCTGCCATTTCAGATTCCTTCTTAGCCATAAAAGTTGTGCAATCACCTTCATAATTTTTCCTGCTGCTTATATTCTGATCTATCATATACTTCGTGGCTGCTCCAACCATACATATTGAGCTGGCCACAGGACAGTGCATAGGTCACATGACAGAAATGCCATGTCAGTCGGTGTACCAGTGAGACTGCCAACCGCAACTACTACTCCCATGAGAGCTCTATTGCATGGACACAGCTACAGTAACCTCGCATGATATCTGTATTATTAGTGTTAATAAAGTTTTATAAAGATGAACGCTGTGATGCTATTCTCTTATAGATAACCAAATTATCTATAACATCACTAACACTGCCATCTGTTTTCCAACATACAAACCACTTACCATAATCTCTATCATTATTATGACACATTTTTCATTTACAGTACCATCTTTTCCTAATTTTACAAACTATCTGCCACCATCATTCATCATTAACATGTGGTCAGCAGAAATAATTATGACTTGGGAAGGCAGGTAATATCTGACATAAATTAAAATATGAGGTGCAGAAAATGTACACATAAAAAAAATGGAATGGAAAGGGTTAAAGTACAGCATTTTTGATGCTACATGTATGTTACAATTAATATGTTGTTGGACATTATCCATCATCTTGTCTGTTCTTAAAAAAACGTTGTTTCTTTTAAAAAACACAGACAGACAAGATGATGGATAATGTCCAACAACATATTAATTATAACAATTTACCATCATCACAAACTTTTAAATCTTATTTACATGTATATTATCCTACATTGTACTGGCTTCTGTTTACAATCCCCAGGTATGACAAATGTGCACCACTACCCACAAACACATGATATATAAAACACATGTTTTAAACCTTCTGATTCCTCTTCTTTATATATGAAGTTCTTGGAAGCACAATGAGATATGAATACAATGTAGAGCTTTATACTAGACTAAACTTCAAATCATCCTCCAATCCTAGAGTCCTAGGGAAAGAATTAAATTAAATTTGGAAAAAACAGACACAGGAACCAGAGTAAGGACTTTAGAAAAAGAATACAGTGAAGGGGTTATTATGAATGAAATGAATTACCAGAGCACTGTAGACTTTTTAGTAACATTATGGCAAAAGAATATCTCTCCAAATTTGGGGAAAGTCTGCACAAACGAGGAAACCACAGAACACATTCTGCTGAAATGCATGGAAGAAGAACACATAAAGAAACTGACAGATCTGTGTTACAAGAGGTTTTGAAATACAACAAACCCTGGGAAATGGTCCAACAATTTTATTGGAGATATTGTGCTAACAGCACAAATACTGGCAAAGAAGGAAGGATCCTCCAAAACTTAGTCTACAGCTCAAATTGTGCTGAGTACAAGTTCTTAAAATAAAATCTACCCATGTATATGCCATTCATTAACTTATTTGTAAGACTATGAATGATCTGGTAACAATTCCACTTGAAAATGTGACAAAGTTTCATAAAACTTATTCCAACATTTATCAGTATATTTACAATTACAATGCATTTTGTTATCCAGGCAAAAAACTGGTATCAGATTTATTTGACTTGAATAGGTATAGTACAATAAAGAACAGCAATTATTTTAATACATCAAAGAAATAGTAGCAGTAGTAATTATAGCTCTTTGGCATATGAAACTTCCATTTGGCTAACCCAACTGTGCCAAAATAACACTGACAAATTGACTAGGCCATGTCTCATGTTTTCACAATGCTCAAAACAGAAATATGTATGTACAATACCACCCACTGTTGTGCTGAACCTTTGTAACTACAATTTTAGCATGTTTGGTTGGTTTCACGTGTATAAACTATATATTTTGGATGATGTCCATTGTGTGAACAAACAAAATATCAGCTGTTTGGGAACTAGGTTTATATAAGGGTCCCTTAGAGTATGTACCTTTTCCACTAACCTAGGCAGAGACAAAGCAGTCTCTGAAATATTGTGTTTCGTTTTCTTCCAGGTAATAAACAATGTCCATGCTCAAAACAGATATCTGTATGTATAATAATGTGGCATGTTTACCCATGTTTACGCATGTTTACGCCCGCAACACATGTGGCCAACAGTATGGGAACAGTGTTTTTTACCTCTGCGGACAGGCTATGTAACAGCCACATTGTGACATCACACAACAGTATGTGGCCGTCAAGTGACACACTTCCTACGCGATGTACCTCGACATCATTGACGCTTGGATTACACAACAGTACTGTTCATTCATTGCGACATTTCCATGCTGTCGGGTTCGAGGCTACATGGTGAGGGCTAGACTGAACAAAAATGAGTGGTGGAAGCAAGTGAAGTGGAACCAGGAATACAGAAGAATACAGGAGGTCAGCCTGTGATGATGTCAAGTGTGACTTCAAGACTGTATGTGTGCTATAGTGCAGCGAGATTAGGAGTGTGTAATTCAGTGAGACTTGTTATAAATATGCGAAAACTACTTGAGATAGAGTGAAGAGATTAGTGTGAAGTAAGTGTAAGTTGTGAAATCAGTAACTGTTATAAGTAATTGTAGTTACGATCTGTAAATGGTTAATAAACTCAATTACCAATCCGAACGGCGTCTTCAGCAGCCAAACACGCTACAACACCATCCACTGTTGTACTGACCCTTTGTAACTACTGGTTTAACATGTTATCCTTTGGCTAGTTTCATGTGTATAAAACTATATACCTACAAAGACAAAAACAACACCGTCTAGTGTGACTATTTAAGTTTTATCACTTGAAAACTCATCACCTTTACATGTTTTGATCCCTACGGATCATCCTCAGAGGGCATCAATACTTTTTCCAGAAACTACTATTACAATAGACGTTGTTGCAATTGTTAAGTGTGACAGACCAGAATGCAACAAATCAAACTATATATCTATTTTGGATAATGTACATTATGTGGTTAAACAAAATATCAGCTGTTTGGGAAATAGGTTCACATAAGGGTCCCTTAGAGTGTGTACCCCTTCCTCTAACCCAAACAGAGACAGAGCAGTCTCTGAAATAGTGGTTAGGTTTCTTCCAGGTAATAAATAATGTCCAAACAAAACATTCCTATGATAAGATTTATAATTTGGCACTAAATTGTCTCATCACAAATTCTACAACGAAAAATGTCTGACAGTTAAGGAAAATTTCATTTCCATGCTACGCATAAAGTCTTCTAATAAAACTAAGGCAAACATGGAGAATAATACTGAAATGTACTCTGGGAAGGAACTGAAGTTGACCTAGGTTTAGCACAGAATAGGGGAAACAAGAAATTAATGCATTATTTCAGTTGAGATAATTTGATGAATTTAGACCACTGCATAGATGAAAGGAGATCATCAAAACAGATATAGATAAAAAGAAACTGTGACCTGTAAACCGGGTTGAAGTGGCTGAGGTCAGGGTGCAAAGACACATGATTTGTGGGGATGAGGATTAGTTTCTTTGAACAGATGATTAACCCATTCAAGGATGATCATCAGGTAGAAGGAAACAATAACTTAATCCTTCACTGAATACAGATTATAGTACTTGCAGTGATGGAAGGACATTCAAATTCGCAAAAACAGGAGACATTACAGCAAAACTTTTAATAGCCAGAATGAAGTCTTCATTCTTCCAGCTACTACAGCTCTTGAAATGTCGTTGCACTAGACAGTTCTGCAGATTTACAACTCTCAGTTTCATAATCTGTAAGTATGGGGCCCACTATCTCACATTTTGAATTTCTCTTAGAAAGTGCAGAACTCTTATCCTAAACAGGTAATGATACCATACCTAATCCATGCTACAATATAGTTATGATTTCTATGTGGCTATATGCCCATGTGATTCTCATAGCAGTTCTTCAGTTGGTCAAACTCTAGTGTACAACTGACAAGCTGATTTTCTTTTGGTTACAGAATGACTTCTCTTTTTCTCATTTTTTCCAAAGAAATGTCCTTTTCTTTTTGTGGTGAAAAGCTATGGAACATTTAAGTTGAACAGATGCCAGAATAGATTTACCTATACAGAAGGTATCTGCAGCAGAAGAGTGAGGTATTTCACATGAGGCATGGAAAGATTTAAACACTAGCTTAAATCCATTGTTATTAAGTACGACAGAAATAATTCTATGTTCAAAAGAATATCAGGAACACAGATAATATACAGATGGCACTGTCTTAACAGACTGCATGCATCAACATGAAATAAGTTTGAAAGTCATGTTACATTCTATTTTGAGCATTGCTTACATTAAACTGTTACAGGGAGTAATTTTATGGGGTATGATGAACCTAACCTAATTCGATGATGAACCCTAAGCTCACCTCATATTCTTTCAACATAGTTGCCAGGGAAGGTACCAAAGTAGCCAGTTCTCTGACTTGACCCCACATACCAACCATCATCACACTTCTCCATCACATAGACCATATCTCCTTCACACAATTCCAGTTCATCCTCATTCTGTGGCCGGTAGTTGTACAAAGCACGATACCTGTCACAAAATGCAATACAGTTCATTGCTTCATGGCAGGATCCAAATTCTAAAAAGAACACAGATAAAACCAAGCTGTGTGTATAATCAATGCCAATGAACACAACTAAAAAATACTGGGATGCAAGAAGCAAACAGGAGATTTAATTTAATACAGGGAAAACAATCACATGTTAATCATGATCATCTATGCTGATGATGTACATCTGGTTGGGAATAACATAAATACCATAAAGAAAATCACTGAAGCTCTGACACTGGTAAGGAAATTGGTCAAGAAGTAAACACAGAGGAAACCAAGTATACATTCATGTCTTATTACCAAAATGCAGAACAAAATTATAAAATAATGATAGCTGACAGAACCACTGAAAATGTGATAAAGTTCAAATATTTGGGAATGACAACAATTCAAAATTTGAATCATGGGGTAATTAAAACTGATGAAATTTGGGTAATTCCTACCGTTCAGTTCAGAACCTTTCATCTTCCAATCTACTGTCGAAAAACATAAAAATTAACTACAAACGAATGGCACATTTTTAACAAAAACAATGCCATATTCAAATTAACCCTATAAATACACCCACCAGATGGCAAAACACAAAAGAAATACCCACCTGGTAACTCCCCCACACATAACAGTCACAATCTAACACAACCATGGGTGGTAGTATTACTTACTGGACACTGCCACCTAAAAGGGCACCTTTTCAAACTGGGACTGACAGATGACATAACTTGTGAAAGGTGCCTACAAGAAAATGAATCAGCCACACACATCTTCTGCGATAGTAAGGCTATAGCTTATGTAAGATATCACCACCTGGGTCAGTTCTTCATGGAACCAAGTGACTTTTATGATGCCCCCATAAATAAAGTCCTACATTTCATTCAAAGTGCATGATTAATGAAGGGTTAATCCATAGGGGAACCACAATAGATCACTGAAGGTTTCAGTGTGAGGGCCGGTTTCTATGGCTCACCCCTCATACTCATGCTCAACAAAACAACCAGATAAAACTCCCAGCTCACTACCATTCTGTGGATGCTACAGTCCATGATGAACCTCGGTCTGTTTTATAGTTTCTTAATCATACAGACAGTCGGTAAGACTCCTTGGGCAAGGGATCAGCCCACCGCAAGGTCGATTCTACACAGGACAACACAAACACAGAATAAATGCAGACGAACATCCATGTCTCAATTGCGATTCAAACCCAAGACCATGTGTTTGAGCAGGCAAAGACAGTTCATGACTTAAGACGATGCAGCTACTGTGATCAGCAACTAATTAGAATAACGTAGTTATAGTTATTCCCGCTGTATGCAACATACCACATATATTAATACATCATAACTATAGGTAAACAGATAAGCACACATAACTAAACAACACAGATAACTAATACACCACAAAAGTTAACCAAACACATTAACAGTCACTAATTAGAATAACATAATTACTGACACTCCCACTGAAGGCTGTTATGCTACATAATTTTATACACCATAACTGTACATATATATGACAAACATAAAACACTAATGACACAATAATATACACACACACACACACACCCTCAATAAAAAATTGACCGTACAACATACAAATGATATACAACAAATACTTGATTAGAACATTTAAAATGACACCAGCAACATCTCCACAACACGGGCAATACAAGAAAACATATACACCTAACCCCCAAATTCTTTTGAACACCAAGTAATTCATATACAAACTTTGCAAAAAATCAGTCATAGCAAAAGAATTCGAGCAAAATCCAAATTGCATCTGCAAGTAACATTCTACACCTCCTTAATACACAAACAACTTTTTTATAATTATGCATTTTATCTGACACATTATGGGCACAACATTGAAATAGCTGAACGAAACTGGATCCAACTTCCAATGAATTGAAGTTACAGTATGCAATTCATTAAGCTGTTCTTATTTTTAAGATGTTCACCTGATGATCAGTATTTGATCAAAACATATCGTGATTTTAAGAAATAAAAACAATTAATTGGTTATAATTGATATACCATTTATGAATGTTGTTTAGATGGTTAATAGAACACAACAGAGAAATTACTGACTAGCTGAGCGATTATAGCTTCTCAAGACTATTTGTTATATAAAATTTCCTTGAATTTAATAGCTACCGATACCTCTCATTCTTTAGTATGGAATGAGAGATTTAATATATTTATATAAATAGTCACAATTTTATACAAACTTAGGAATTTATACTGTGAAACTTATACAGAACACTTACGGGACAGGGTCAGAATGTGTGTCAATATGCAGCGTTTGGTTGACAGGTGCCAGCGATTGTTTCAAAGTCTGGCTCTGGCGGGGCTGTGGAATCAAATTGCAGTTCATTAAATTAGAATACAACTATCAACATTAAAGCGTGTATCTATTTCTCTGTAAAGCACCTGTCTGAAGAGCTAGAAGAAAACAGAAGTCAACTATATTTAAATGGATATTAGGGAAATATGTTTTTGGAATAGACTCTTAATTGAATTGACTCAGGGACACATCTAGTGAGCTAGTATTTGCGAAGAAGTACAGGTATATTACAATAAAATTATTTACAATTATAAGACGACTAAGATACAAAAACAGTTATTTGAGTATACATATTTCCTTAAGTATTACGTTATATTTGGGCAGGGGGAGAAAGAAAACAAATTCAAAAGAATGCAAGACCATAATTTTTGGCTTGTGCCAAGAACAACCTGAACCATTCACTGCCCAAGAAGTACAAAGCAGAAATGTGCATATAAAGTAATTTATACCAGTGTTGCATAAGGGTTGCTGGATGTGTAAGAGGAAGTCATCTTATTCTGGCTGTAATACGATGACGGTTGGTAGCTATGTTGTCCCATTGACTGCTTGATCCCACTCCCATTCATCAGACTTGTGTGAGATGCAGGCAACATGACTGGCTTTGAAGATGCAGCTGCAGTAGTCACTGCAATTTCAACATACATTCTCAGTATAACTTTACTCTACTGACTCATTCCATGTCATACCAACTATTCACTCACTGCTTGACCATAATCATTTAGAACAATATTTTTTTTTTCAGAATTCACTATGGTGACTTCAATCAAGATATAAAACAAATTTCTGGTTCTTTTGTACTTGGAAGGTCACCAGATATTCTAAAAGGGCAAATGATGTCAACAAGTATGCAATACTTCTTGCATTTCTTTAATTTTAAATAGTGCCAATATTAAGTTGACTCAAGTACCATTCATAACATAATTCCTCATGCAGTGGACCCATTTTAAATGGTTTCTCACCTAAAAATTAATATCACTGGGTCCCAAAAGTAATATCATAATGTATTTAGATCTAGTTTACAGTGTTTCCTTCACAGAAACATATCCCACCTAAGAGCAATTTTAAATACATGTATCAAACATTTTACTCATTTGACAATTTTTTGTCAGCTTACATTACATAGCTACAGAAATTACTCAGTAACAAGCAGATGCTTATATAAATCACACACATTTTGGCACTAAGCACAACTCAGCAGCATCCAATGAGTGGCAGAAGTTCGAAAAAATGAAAGGTGATTTTCTGACATTCACGATCCACATATCTGGTAGTGTGGCCTGAGTGTGATTACATATGGTGAGGATGTGTCCAATTTCAAGAGGTTGTGCAAAAGTAAACTGACATACATTACATTTAGCTGTATGCATGGCTATAAGAAAACCCTTAAACCAGAGGTGTTACCAGTTTCTGAGAAACTGCTGATCATTACGACAGTGGATGCTCAACCTCACATGATGCACATAAAGGATGCATAACAACTTAGCATACTGGTGTCTACAATAAATACCATTTAAACATTCAACCATGCAGAAAGAAGTTAAAAACTTCTAAATATGAGAAGAATGAATCAGTGCTCCTAGAGTGTTGGTTAGTTAGTTAGTTAGTCATTAGAGAGGGTGGGTTTCCCAATGCACTTAGACCTGCAGTGGTCCAGTGTGCTTCCCTCTATGATTTCTACCAGCCTCTATATCCTACCGGTACTGGTGCTTACCATCAGTCCCGCCCAGCCAGCGAGACCGGCTCTACTGGCTGAGAAGTATCTATAATGCTTCCCCCATCTACTGGAGGTATTAGTGACTGCTGTTGGGCGGGAAACATCCGAAATTTTGGCTCAGTGACCTCCTTTGGAGGTATGACGTTCTTTTACATGCCGTAAAGCTACGACACGGGACCCACGGCTTAAAGTCCATCCCGGAGGACTTGTTCCCTGAATTTTTCCACCCTTAAAAATTCGACGACCTCCGCCGGGTATTTGAACCCGCATACTACGAGTCATGAGGTGGGAACGTTACCTCTAGACTACGGAGGCCGCTCTCCTAGAGTGTTTCAGGAAGTACCAGGAATTGTGGATACTAATTCAAGGTCAAAGTTGAGACAGAAAATTACTCTGCTTATATGTTCAAATATGGATGGATCTGAAAAGATGTCATTGCTGGTAACTTGAAAGGCAGAGAAGCCAAAATGATTCAAGCATGTGAAGTCCCTGCCATGTACATACAGACATAACAGTAGTCCATGGATGCTGCATGTGCTGTTCATGGTCTTCCTAACATGTTTTCAAAGGAGAATGCCAGCCAAAAACCACAAATTACTGTTGTTTCTATACCAGTGTGTATCGCCACCTCCTTTGTGGAATGCCTGACATGACAAAGTCAATCACCAGACACCCCTGGGAAACGTAAGATTTTACTTGAAATTAGTTTGAAAGGCAAGTAAAATAAATTATGCTAGATATGTTCTTCAAGAAGAAATAACATTTCAGAACAGCCTATCGACTTTAACCATGTGAACAGAACGTGCAGTATACATTTGAAAGTCTGTGTATTTAATATGTTCTTAGCCATTTATTAAGTTTAAAATTTAATATTTATTCTGTTCCTTTTCTATTGGGGATATCACTGATTCTGCAAAACGTTTTGAAGCCTGCTCTTTTAAAACTTTTTCCAACTTAAGAAGTTCATATTTCTTTGTCCCTTGGAAAACTTCTTACAAGGTATCCACTGTAGTTATCAAAATCAGTTTAGCATAAATTGTAGTATAGCATATGGCAGTCAGAAGAACCACCAACGATTCAACACATTCACCTCTTTCAGAAAGTTAGTTAAGCTGAAGAAGATGAGTAATAATTACTTTGGGTTCTTTCAAATTAAGTACCTGGTTTTTCACCTGGTTCTGAGAGGATCTCAACATACGATACAGGGAATATTCCTTTTCTGTTTCCAATGCGACCCTCGAACCAGTTGTCATCCACACGTCTCGTCAGCACCAGCAGTTCACCTACATGAACAAGGGTTCATACATTACTATATTAAACTTCTTTGCAAGTTTTTAAAATGTGTATCCATACTGTGCATGCAAAATTTTGATTTGTAAACCTCAAGCAAAGTTATTACAGATGCCAACAGGAGGATATTATTCCAGGAATCTCACAGACATGGGTTATGGAGATAATCTTTTTCTTGCCCTTCCTTCAGATATGTCACAAATTTAACTGTAACAATATGTATCATAAATAAGCTGTTTAGAACGGTACAGTAAACATTTTGTTACTCTATCACAAAAGCACCTTGTGAAACTGTGGCTAAAGCCAGAAAAAAAAGCATAAAAGTTTAATTAAATATAATTTAAAGCTCCTAGTGTTCAATCATGCATGTACCACAATTTTATGTAGAAACATAATTAATAAGCCTTGCAAATCATTGATCAAACAAAGAGAAAAAGTTTAAGCAAAAACATGCACATAATTTCTTATGTATGACTGACCTTGACTACCTTACCTTCGAAGTGGAAATGACTGTCACTAAGCTGACCAGTTACCAAAGAACAATGAAATCTGTCTGACCAGTAAAGCTGGTTTTGACAAAACTGACATTTCACATTTCAGCTCCTAGTGAGCGTATCATTATGTTCTTGAATATACCACCTATGCTGTATTATTTAGAGAGATGGCCTACATGACTTACTAGAATTTAATCAAAATTTATACATCCTTCTTAAAGGCCCATCTGAAAGGGCTGCATTTTCAGAACGAGAACAGGCATTAACCTATGATAAACTGAACATCAATAATGCATCCGGCAGTTCGGAGAACTATGCACACAGAAACAGGCAGATAGATTGCATTTCACATTCAGGGGGTCTCAAAGCATGGAAATCCATTAAAATATCGGGACTGATTTTTTTCACAATCATAATTCCTCATATATACTAAGTAGTGTAGAATAGTGCACTGCAGACATATTTCAACTGGAGAAACATTTGTTCAACAGTATGAAGATTCAAGCCCATCTACAGAAGTTAACTGTTTCTATTTAGTCTCACCTTTTACCAGGGAAAGCTCCAGATGTGTCTGTGCAATGAAATTGAACTTGGCACGGGCCTGGCCTTCACTGGGTCGTTTAGGTATCGTTCGAATTCCATCATATGGGATTATCTGCGGAAACAAAATGTTGACACGCTGACGATATGAACAACAGTATGACAATTTGAGAATTACTGATATGTAATCACACACAGCATGAACAGGAAAAACAAATGAGCACAGAATTATTGTATGAAACCCTCTGGAAAACAGGTACTATGAAGACCATCAAGAAGAAGGCAGGATAACACTAAAATTTACTTTATGGAACTAGCTTGTTTGGTTGTGAATGGGACTGAACTGAACCAGGATTACATCAGAGGTCATATTTTTACGTTGTAATTTCAGATTTTATTATGATAAAGTTGGGTATTCGAAAGTAATGCCATACAATAAACACATGACAGAAAAGGTAAAGTTCTTCACGTGTCTAAGCACCCTGACTGCCACAAGGCATACCGAGTTTATAGAGATAAAGCTTCTTACATTCTTAACACCAACATTAAACTGGGTAATTTTCATGTATAGATAAAGCTTCTTACATTCTTAACACAAACATTAAACTGGGTAATTTTCATGTATCACCCATTGTCATGTCCATGCAGAGAGCTCCTTGTTAGGAGACTGGGTAGGTCCTGGAGGCATTCTGGATATGGTGGCATACAAAAACTCTAAATACCCCTAACACAAACCAAACTCCAGCGCTCATTAATCTGCACCTGCAGCCATTTTCTTAACTGACTGATATTTCGCGATTTCCAAGATAAAATATCTAACAGAATTCAATTCATAGGAAAAATTAAACAAGTCAGTATTAAAAGTAGGGAAATAAAATGTCACAAAATGAATACTGAAGTTACAAATAACTTTACAAATGTCACCATATTTGTTTATAATAAAAAAACTGCGTGATGTTTCAATCAATAAAGTCTAACATAAGAAAAATAGTCTGTACCTCAACATAATTGAAAGGGAAGAGGCCGATCATAGCGTTGTGCTCTCCTTCATACCAATTCTTGTCAATCTGGCGTCGCACGAATATTATGTCCCCTCTTCTGAAGCTGAGCTCCCTGCCACATATTTAAAAAGTATTAATCTGTTACCTTAATACTGTGACAAGAGTTCATCAATATTCTCACCTTAATGGATAAGTTAAGCATAACTCACATGAATTATGATGCAGTATAAAACAAGAATTAATTTCACCCTTTATTCATATCCCATCCCATTATGACAATTACAATGCCTTTTACGTTAAAACAGAAAAAAGGATATGTAAGGTGAATGAATCATATTTACAGATACAGTTCTTGTCTGTATACATTCATCTAGTCCACCCTGCAACAACACGTCAGTCACTCCACGTATTCTCAACCACTCTCCATACAACTTTTCAATGACCTGGTTCATGCAACAAGATTCAATATTATTACATTTCATTCTCTCAATTATACAGCTGACTGCCTAAGAATACTCAGCATCCTAACCCAAATGGTATATGAAAACACATTTATGTTAGTAACTGAACCCTCCCCCAGCATCACAAGATCACTGTAACTGTTACGAAGCCCTTCTTTACCTTGAAGTTTGCCCAACAAAATTGTAGAGAGCTCGTGCCACCAGTTTGGGTTCTGGAGTTCGGTCTCTTGGTTTCCCCTTGTTTCCAACATCGTCCAAGAAGTCATCATAACGATTAAGTGGAATTGGTGACTTCTGCGATGGTCTGCAAGAAAGAGTCTACATAAACATTTCGTAAAATCAATCAATATTAAAACAATTAACAACATTAAGAAATGTGTTCAAAACAATGGACATATCTCACTGAGGGTTTCACGTCATGGGCACTGACTAAGTAGCATAAATTACTCGTAGTTTTTATTTCAAAGATGGCCGGCAGCAAGCAATCCAAGGGTATATGTAGATTTCCTAAAGCTTTCAACTTCGTTATAATGGTTACTTTGATTTGTATCGTTACTTTGGTTACTGCGATTTCTATTACGCTGGCCACCTCACAAATTCGTGCATTCGTCATGTTGCTCTTAACGACTGTAAGAAAATAAGAAGCACGAGTTTGGAGTAGCCTCGAGCAATATAATGTCCACACATTTCATCAAAATGAGTCCCTTTTCCGTGCTGAAACGTGCGGCCGGCAGGCCATCCGTACGCACGTGAGCGCCAACTGCCTTTTAATTGGGGGTTGGGGGGGGGGGAGTTGCCTAATTTCCTCCCACCCCCCTGGCCCGCCTACGCCCCTATCTAATATGGTCTTGTTCTTGCAAAATGTGTAAAGAACGCATTACAGAATCATTTGTTCCTCCACTTTACTTACGCGATACTATAATAGCCTCTGAAAGTGGTTTCCCGCAATATCGAACTTCGTTTCACACTCAACACAAATTCTGTGATAAACGCTGAAGTTCACTTCACACGATTTCTCCGAAACCCCCAAAATGTAAATATTATTTTTGTATAATTTATGTTCGAACTTCCCCCAAAGATAAACACATTCCGATCCGTGGTACATACAGAGTGAACCAGGACATCTGCGACAAACTCTGAGAAGCGATAGATGTCGCAGGGAGGATAATTTTTTGTCAAACGACCCGTATCTTCCGATACAACGTTTAGGAGTTACGCGCTCCTGTTTGAAACGTATAGTGAAGGTCATGTAACAACCAGTACATTTCGAATCTGTTTGTTTACAATGCTGAACCAAGTGATGACGCTTCTTCCTCGCCCCCTACACTACGTCTGTGTAGATAGTCGATTACGCTTGCAATTGCTTGCAATCATCTATCGAGAATGGACGTCTTTGATTTGCGAGGCCAGCGCTGTCACCGGACTTAATGCCCCTAGAAGATTTTCTTCCTTTGTGGCATGTGAAGACTGCCCTGTACGCCACCACAGTTGACACCAGACAGGAACTGTGCGAATACACGCTGCTTTTAAACAAATTCAACACAGACCTAAAATGTTCGACAGAGTCCGACAGTCACTGCTATGGCGGCGTAATAAATGTAATCAGGTTCAGGTTGGACGCTCTGAACACCTGTAAACTGTCCGCAAAGGTATTTGAAGAAATAAATGTTTTGGTACTCACGTGAAGTTGTCAATATGTCATACACAGAACTTCCATACCGGATTCTGGTATTCGCATAAAGATGACAGTTGTGTCCCTGAAAGAACTTCCCATGTTCTGATACTCACGTGAAGCTGGCAGTATGCCATATGCAGGAACTTCCTTCAATGCACCTTCAATATTCCCGCAAAGTTGTCAGATGTCCTGTGAAAGGACAGCCCCCTGCTCTTGCACTTACGTGAAATTATCGGTATGTCTCCTGCTGTGCATGTCCTGCAGCTCCTGCAAGTACTTCCTCCTCCGCTCCTCCTGGTATATCCTGCGCATTGCCTCGGCCTGCCGCCTCGCCAGTTCCTCTTCGGACAGGGCCTCCTTGGCCTCGGAGCGTACGGGACTGCGGTAGTGAATCGTCACTTCCGACTCCACGTAGCGGTGCGGCGACTCTGCGACGGATCACAGGACCGTTAGTATGTGCGTGCGTGGGTGACCTACTCTCCACTAATGATACGTTCTTGTGTACCGACCTACATCTGTGACACGCCGCTTGTGCACCCCTTAACATTACTTATACCTGCGTGCACACGATACATCAAGATTTTAAAGCAGTGAGTCTATAACCGTGGACCGGACAGATCCAAAAATCTACTAACAAAGAATGACAGGCGTAACTAGAGGTTACGGGTGCTGTCTATCCAATCATAACATACAGTATTGAGAACACTGAACACAGATTTCAATAAAGGTAAAGCTGTCCCTGTACTTAAGGAAGCATTACCCACGAAGGCGTATAAACCCACGTTTTCTTGACCTCGGCACTAGTTGGAGGTCAGTGGTCAGCTTCACGCCCCGGCCGCTTTACACCCGGCGAAAATCTCCCGGTACCCAATGGATAAGAGGCTGGGTGGAACCAAGATCCGGTCTGGACGACATGGAGAAGTGAAAATTCTTAACCACACAGGGACTCAAACTCCGACCCCTCGGTCGTCCATCCAGTAGCTAGTCGCTATACCGACTGCGCTATCCCAGCTCACACAGATTCCAATAACCTGTTCTAAATGAGAACTTACGAGGAATATGGGGACTGCTCATGACAGACTGTTGACATATCCATCTACCGACTGAAGTAGTACTACCAGCAGAATGAGTACTACCTGCAACCAGTGCGTCCATTGCTCTATCGGAGTACTATGTTTGCATAATTTCACGCAGCACAATTACTGTTTTATTGTGTAGGGTGATAGATTTAGTACCGGTTTAAACTTCTTTTAATGTTGTACGACCTTCCACTTCTTGGAAACAATTTTATATTTAAAAAATGCCCACAGGCCTACATAATGTACCTGCAAATTCGCCAGTAAATATCACAATTCGAGTTTTATAGAAAAAAGACTGCTTAATCAGGGAACTAACCTACCAGATCTGCTTCATACGTAAACTAAATCAGAATACTGGCATTTAATTTGTATTAAACAAAACATGGGTCCGAACGGTCAGAAATTATGAAGGATTTGAGGTTCTCCCAGCGGCAGTTATGAATAACACTATCTTCTGGGATATAACGCCGTGCAGTCTGTTGAAAGGCAAGTGACGTTGCAACGGACTACACAACGTTATATCCCAGAAGACAGTGCCCTTCAGCCAGAAATTATTTCATTAGACCTATACCGACATAACGACAAAAATGAATAAGACCGGAAAGGCGCAATCTGTACTGCAGTGCACACAGTGTCCATTCGTTGTCTGCAATTCTGTATTATGAATTATCCTGGCTATTCCAAATATCATTAATAAATAAGTTAAAACACTATAATTACAACTTAAATTAAATTCCTACATAGCAGCCTTCCAATTATACGACGACTAATATCATTAGTAAGTAAAGTAAAAGAAAAGTAAAGCAAAGCTATCCCTGTAACAGGCCATGAAGGCCCATAGGGTTGTGAGACGTTGAGGGTCCCACATTATCTAGACAATCGGTTCAAAGATGGCGGTAAGGTTGTCAGCCTTACGTGCCGGCCGCGCTTTACTCCCCGAGAAAATTATATATTTAATTCCTGGTACTCATTTCTGTTAGTACATTTAAATATTTACAACTTTTCAATCATAATTCTACTAAAGAGTTTGTAAATCGTAATTATACTACAAAAATTCCAATGAAGAGAAGGCGAGGCAAATAGCGGGTAGAGCTGGTCCACATTTCCCATTCTACTGTTCACTTTGGCTCAATATTTCAGGGACACATTAATCTTAACTTCACCAAGAACAACGGTAAGATTCGCCCAATAATCATGCCAATGCTTTCAACTTCATACTACATACGGGCAAGCCTTGGTTATTTGCCTCTCCTTTCTTTCGTTGGAGGACAGTATGTTCCCCTCGAAAAGTTTCGCCCTCCAGTCCACGCACATTTCTTATACATCATGATTACTACCATTACTACTGTTACTGTCTGCTGTGGTTGCCATAAGTACTATCGCTGATTACAGCTACTGCATTTTGGTAGTGGCGCCCCATCTCACGAGTTCAGGGAGGTGCCACGTTGTTATTACCAATTATGGGAAAATAGAAAGCACGAGTCTGGAGTGGCCTCCAATGGCACAATGTTCATACGAAGTTTAATGAAAATCAGCAAATTCGTTCGGTTCATCCATTTATAAAACCTCGTTCTAGCTGAAAAAAGCAATACTCTATAAGATGTGACAATTCAGACCGCATTATGATTTAAATATAAAATGTCTTTACTTAGAGGAACTGTAAAACCAACTTTCTTCCTCACGGCACAAAATATTACAACACATTAAAATTTCACGCCTGGTTTAGCCCTACAATATGCTACTTTGAGATGTCGTACTTCACCAATGAGAAGACATCTTGTACTGGCCGTGGAAATGGCTATACCCAGGAAATAACGCTATGTCATGTTTCATGGTTCTAAATCTCACCACCATTTCGCTTTGTCAGGTTATACATGACATAAAATACGTAGTTCAGATACATCTATTATGTTTTATCTGAAACGTTTTCGTGCATGGTGTACGTCTGATGAAACATGACCATTAGCTTTGTCAACAAAAAAGAATTGTGACTGAGCAGTTTGATATCTGTAAGGTACGGTAAAGGTATTCCTGTAACAGGCCGTGGAGGCCCTCAGGGTTGTAAGAGGTCGAGGCTCCCACATTCTCTACACAATTGGCTCACAGATGTCGGTGAGGTTGTCTGAATTACGCGCCGGCAGTCCTTTACCCCCAGGAATACTCCTGGTACTCATTTCTGTTGGAGGCTGAGGCGACCCTAGGGCCATAATGCGGCTGGATTAGGTAAACTGAAAAAATCCACCCATCGGAATTCGATTCCGCGACTTTCCGGTTTGTAGCATAGTGCCTCAACCAACTACCCTACCGCGTGCCCCTGTTTGATATTTATAATGTGGAAATAACAGATTTGGCACCTGAAGCAAATGAACACAAAGACCAATTAGAAACGCAAAATGCCAAAAGAGCTTACAAGGAAATATATATTCTTCGAATGGCGCACACTTTTCCACACCTCGTGTTCTTACGTTTGTCTTTTTCTGCTTTTCCTGGAAAAGGGGCTGCAGCGTTGCTAGGGAAGTACTTTAGCTTATTTATACTGAACCTAACTACGTATGTCTGCCAGCCTCCGTAATCCCCTGTCGCCCCTCACACTGCATCTTGTGTGTCTGAAATAAACGCCCTCAAATGACTTCATTTCCATTTCGTTTTAACGTACATAGGCCCATACCGTATTTACGCATGTATAGGCCGCGTGCGTGTATAGGCCGCAGCACAATTTTCAGACAGAAATTATAGAAAAAATAATTTTCTTGGAATATTATTTCAGAAGTAGAACACCCTGTATTACTAATTATGAATATATATTTTTTTAAATGAAGTGTGATTTCGAATATTTCGAATATAAGCCGCACCCCAGTTTTCCTCTTGAATTTTTGGCAAAAAATGTGCGGCCTATACATGCGTAAATACGGTATTTATCCTATTACAATTATTCTTGAACAAATCGCTTCATTAACAAGGCGCTGAAGAGAATATTTTGACCAAAGTGGGACGACAGTTTAAGAAAACTGCATGGTGGGCAGGAAATGTAACAAAAATGGGGATAAGAGGAATTCATATATGAGTTCGGTGGGAAAGCCAAAAGGAAAGAGAACACTAGGAAGATCTAGACGTAAGTGGGAGGATAATATAAAAATGAATCTTGGAGAAATGAGATCGGGTGGTGTGGACTGTATTGTTGTGAACATGGTGACGAACTTCCGGGCTCCATAAAATGTTGGAAAATTATATTCAGTAGCTGAGCGACTGGCGGCTTCTCAGGGAGGACTCTACACCATGGAGTTAGTAATCACCAGTCACTTTACACAATTAACTCAGAACACTCAATTAATTTTAAATTTCCTCACAAGATCAAGAATTCCAGTACAGACAAGACTGAATCATTTAATTAGCACTGGAAGCTTTATGGAGGTGTTCAGATTTTTATTAATACTCGTATTAATTTAATGGGGTTCGACCTGGTGTATGAATATTCTTATGCGATTTGAATATACAGGCAACCAAACGATCCGGTACATCATCTTCTCTTCCTAAATAAGATCGGAATTCGTTCACAATATTGAAATATGATTTACTTTTGAAAAACAAAGTTGCTGAAGTGATCTATTCCACGATTTACCTCTGCATCCATCATGTGGCAGTTCTCTCATGTTAGTTACCGATATCGGTAGACAACAAAGTTCCCACCTTCGTGTGAAATAATTACTCTCATATATTTTAATTAATGGAACCTTAGATCCCCAACACTTGTCTTGGTTTCCATGATTCCATGTGTGAATCCATGACTCTGTAATGTCTGATAACCAATAACATCTTGTACTTCCAAATGACACCGTATTTATACATTTCAATTTTAAAGGCTACCTATCCCCGAGACATATCTCTGTATCTACGCTGCAAGGATAATCATAACATGGTAACGCGGTCAAGTCTATACTGAATCAGGGGATACAGTGTTATCGCCACATTCTCTTTGGAAGACCCTCCCCCCCGAAAAACAGAAACCTGTCAGGATAGACCTTCGAAAACTATATACAGCCATCTCTCTACACTCGTGATCAAGCCCCCCAATAATACATTACGAGAAAAGTTTCTCGGGGTACATCCTCGAAAGCTTCGCGCTGCTTCTTGGCATGGGTTCAATGAAATCGGACTACTTCGCACTTCCCTGTAATATAGGCAACATCTCGCTCAGGTGCAATATTACTTTTGTATTCTCAAAATAAAAAGTCACACAATCTTACAAAAGTAAGTGGATCTGTAAAAGCTGTGAAATGAGAAAACAATAATACACAATTCACTGAAACGGTATGCCTCTATACAAATATATTTTTCAGAGTTCATGATTC